CATGAACACAGTATCTGAGGTAAATTGGTGGGACAGCGTACCAATTTATCATCAGTTTTGACCCCAGCAATGTCCCGAGTAAGATTTCTGTAGCAGTGTAAGCTCTCCACTGTTCTTGAGAAGGGAGACGGACTGATTCAGGAAAAAACTAGTACTGCAAATAGCCAGTCCACCATGTCCCCGGGCCCTGTGGCTCTAACCCACAATATTGCAGCCTGAGAGACAGAGTTCCATGATGGCATCAGAGCCTTTGTGGAATTCTGAACAGTGATTTGAAGAGCAAGCATTATTTTCAGGGACTCCTTGAAATCACTAAAGTTTATAGGATACCACACTGGCTGCGATATTGGGTCCGGTCTTCAAAAAAATAGCAAAGAGCCACTAAGGAACTGCTTCTAAACTTCTCTACTATCTTGAATTCACCAACTCAAACCTAAAAGGGTCCATCATTATGTATCAGGAGGCTGAAATAAATGTCCTATTTTCCTTCCCTTTGAGGGGCGGTGCAAGGAGAGGTGAGGGGCTTCTCTTTCCCTGCTCTTTACATGTACTCATCATGACCCATCCCCAGACGACCTTCTCCTCTGTTCTCTATTTTAGTGGCCGAACCAGAAAGAACCCTAGACTCTAGTTTCCTCCTCATTACCACACCCGTTCATCACCAAGTCTTTTCAGTTCTGCCTCCTAAACATCTCTAGAGTCCATCCACTTATAGAACACCCCCCCTCCCACTTCCAGACCACCATTATCTTTCACCTGGAATTCTACAGTATTAAACAACGATTACTCCCTTCTGATGTTTTCTCTACATCAGGCAGAAAAATGTTTCTTAATCATAAACCTGACATGTTAGTCCATTATTTAAAATCCTTTAGTGGTTGGGGCGCCTGGGTGGCGCAGTCGGTTAAGCGTCCGACTTCAGCCAGGTCACGATCTCGCGCTCCGTGAGTTCGAGCCCCGCGTCGGGCTCTGGGCTGATGGCTCAGAGCCTGGAGCCTGTTTCTGATTCTGTGTCTCCCTCTCTCTCTGCCCCTCCCCCGTTCATGCTCTGTCTCTCTCTGTCCCCAAAATAAATAAACGTTGAAATAAATAAATAAATAAATAAATAAATAAATAAATAAATAAAATAAAATAAAATAAAATAAAATAAAATAAAATAAAATAAAATAAATAAAATCCTTTAGTGGCTTTTCATTTCCTTACAGTAAAACTTCAACTCATACGAGATGTAAGATACTTTACGTCCAGGCTCTTTCATCACCTCTTCTGCTTCAACTCTCACCAACCATTTCCCACACATACCACACCAACATCTCTTCATTTTAATTCTTACTGACTATATTGTCAGTTCCTGCATTGCTTCTGAATTTTCTCACTCTGAGCCTCCTAATATTCAGTATGCTCCTCTCAGAACAGTTTCTTCTCCGTTTTCCACTGGTTGTGTATCCTTCAGGTCTCAGCTTAAATGTCACTTCCTAAACTTAGGACACCATCGTTGATTCCATAATCCTCGGTGTCAGTTAGGATAGGCTAAGTTATGCTGCAATACTGAGCAACCCTCAAATCTCAGTGGCTTAACATAACACGGTTTAATTCTTATTCACACTGCATGTCCATCATGGCTCAGAGGGGGAGCTCTGCTCATTGAAGTTTCTCAGAGACTCAAACTAACATGTAACAGAGGCTCCATCTCACATGTGATGGCATGATAGCCGAGGCCAGATAAAGCGAACATGGTGAATTGTGCAGTAGCTCTTAAAGCTCCTTTCGGAAAGTGATCTATATTTCCAGTCACATTTCATTAACCGATACAAGCCCCATAGCCATCCCTGACGTAAGAGGGGGTGGAGAACTACAGCCCGACCACATGCCAGCTCGTGTGTGGGTCTCCCCAGTGACTACCCCAGCTCTTTCGCTATACAGCACCATCTCATCTTGTATTTCCTCCAGCATAGTAGCGTCATGCTTCATTATGGTTACGTGGACCTGCTCCCCCACTCCAGTTTTTGCGGAGGTGGGATCGTATATGTCTTTTTCGTTACTCTCTCCATTGCCTTCATTAATGCTTGACACATAATAGGAATTCAAAATTATTTGTTGAATGAATGAATAGACCAACGCCCTAAGATTTGGTACTTGACCCATTGTTCTTTTAGCTCTACCATTTCTCCTTGAAGATATCATCCCCTCTCGTGGTTTCAGCAATCACTGACTGCCCTGAAGGTGAGCCCCATACCCTGACTTCAATCGTACATCTCCAACTACTTGTTGATATTTCTGCTTGAATTTAAAATGCAAATTTACTCTTACAGAAAATATTTATTGATTACTTTCTGGTAAGGCATTATATTAAGTAATGTGAGGATACAGAGATAATTAAGACACCACTTGCCTTCAAAGGGCTTATAGTCTAGTATAATACAAGGAAGAATACAATGGACCCTTAATATGTGTACAATATACAAAATGCTGTACCAAAACGGAACAGAGACAAGTGATTTATGGCAAGATGGAATTAGAACTTGTGTCGTTTGAACCACCAATTCCACTGGGCAAGTATAAATACTATTCTGTGCCAGATCCTAAAGACAACACGAATAAAGTTTTTATCCACCTCACAATCCAGCGGGGAGATACATAGCTGAGGAGGCAAGAGTAAATGGGATTTTAAAATGGGATTTAACACAATGTGGGAGAGTGAGCAAGGGGTTAAGGGGACAGTGCAAAGGAAAGCAAGCAACAGAGGTGTTCTTTCACACACGCAAGAGGAAACCTTTATTAAGCACCAGTGACGTGTCAGACATTGCAAACCTAATACTGAGTAAGACAGTTCCTACCTTAAAGAACAGATAGCATGTTGGGAGGAACCTACTATCTAGATTGTCCACTTTGCCAGGGTTTTTGTTTTACATCTTTGAGGGTGACTTTTGAGCATAAAAGGACCGTGTAGAGCTAATTTGAGGCTTAAAGAATGAAAAGTCGGGGTGCCTGGGTGGCTTAGTCTACTGGTTGAGTGTCCAACTCTTGATTTTGGCTCAGGTCATGATCTCACAGTTTGTGAGTTCTAGCCCCGCATTGGGCTCTGCGCTGGCAGCACAGAGCCTGCTTGGGATTCTCTCTCTCTCTCTCTCTCTCTCTCTCTCTCTCTCTCTCTTTGCCCCTCTCCTGCTCACGCTCTCTATTAAATAAACAAACAAACAAAGCTAACTTTAAAAAAATGAAAAGTCAGCATACTAAAATTTTGTAATCTAAAACCTAGTTTTTCAACACAAAACAAACTTTTTTTTTTAACGTTTATTTATTTTTGAGAGACAGAGAGAGAGCACAAGTGGGGGAGGGGCAGAGAGAGAGAGGGAGACACAGAATCTGAAGCAGGCTCCAGGCTCCGAGCTTTCAGTACAGAGTCCGACATGGGGCTTGAGCCCACAAACCATGAGATCATGACCTGAGTTGAAGTCAGACGCTTACCTGACTGAGCCACCAAGGCTTCCTGAAAACAAACTTTAAAAAAAGTTCAGTTACATCTCTTATTCTATTTGTAAGTCTAGTGAAATTTAGCAATTCCTTTAAAGGGGACTTTTACAACTTAATTAAATTTCTTTTAATATTTTAAATTATATTTACCCATTTAAAGTATTTTGTTTTCTCTTTGAAGTACTTCAGTTGTTTGTCTAACAAAACATTGAGTTTCAAAGTAATTATATTTACTTAATGATAAGTTAAAATACAACTAATAATAAAAGTATGGTGAGCCTTAGATTATCTTTACTATATGAAAGGCTATTTAAGTTATCTCTTACCTTCCAATGTAAAAGTTTATAAAAATGAATTATCCAATTGTGTATTTTAAATTGAACTAGCAAGGCTAATCTCATCTTCATACGGTAAATTTTCTTAACTGTTACTTTAGAGACCAGGTATACACAAGTTGTCTTTAAATTTGATATGAAAAATATTAATATGGAAGGCTTTGATTTACTTTATTTCTGTACCTAATACTTAATTATCTATGGTTAAAAGATAACCAATAAGGAATATTATGCTACCCCAAGCAAGATGGGTGGAGGGGTGGCTACCATCTTGGTGCATTGAGGTTATTTATCAACCAGAAAGACCGGGCTGGGATGCAGGAATTCCTTCTTACAGATGACATCTGTGAGATGCCCTGAACCCAGTTATAGTCGCTAGAATAGGAACGCCCACATTTATGAAAAGCCTGGTCTCAAGGCCTTGGGCACTTACATTCAACTTATACATAAATTAAATCTTCTGTCTGGCTTGAAATTGCTACATCCTTGTGAGGATATAACGATTTCCTTTACTGCTTGCTTTAATTTGCATTTCTTTCACTGCCTTAAGACAATGTACTGTTATCTTTTGTCTGGTTCTAAAGATACATCTATCTGATCCTTTATAACCAACTTTAACTCTTCTGTAAACATTTTAACCATCAGACCATGGTCTGATTTGAGTGAACAGGATTCTTTCAGTGTTATTCTTCCTTAGCCAGGGCCACAACTCTTATAGATAATAAAATGACATCTAGTTTTATTCTACGCATCCCTTGTGGCTCCGTCTAGCTCTTGAGTCACAACACTGAAGTCACGCTCCTGACATAGGAGAGACCATTGTGATAATTTGATGAGATTTGCCAGTTGATTAATGACCAGCATTCCTCAGCATGCCTGTGTGTGACACATCCAGCTTGTGGGGCTGAAAATAGCATCACCCTACTTCTTGCTCAGCTGTGATCCAGTTGTGTCATCTTGAGCAAGTCATTTAACTGCTTTGGGCCTCAATTTCCTCATTTTTAAATGGCAGGAACTCTTAGTTTTAAAATCCTATTGTCTGTTAAATTCTAATGTAGTAGAGTCTGAAATATTGGTGTTATACTGTGCTTTGTTTAGTCATTGCTCAAGAATTAAGTAAATTTTATCTTTGTGGATATTGTCATAATTATGGAGAGCAGCGAGATAATAAATGGTTTTGCTTTCTTCCAGATCTTTGATGATGCATACAAATCCCAGCTTAGTTGTGTGGTTGTAGATGACATTGAGAGACTGCTTGGTGAGTCACATAACTTTTGCCATTGTACTATCTTTGCCACATTACACTAATGTCTCGCAAGTTACAAGAGAAAAATAATGGGTATCTGTAAACTATAGAGCAATAAAATTACTTTTCTTTGTCTTACAAAGAACTGTGTTCTTATATGCGAAGTCAGTGATGGTTTTCATGTTAAATATGCCTTATGACCATAACTCCATTATCAACTGCTTTCCCATAAGGGCCCATACGTCATATTATTTTGTTTCTTCCACAGAGTTCCCTGCCCATAATAAGCGGTTAGTAATTTCCATTGAGTGATATATTTGCTGTTTTGTACCTCTGAGTTGCCCATCCGTACCCCAGAGTTTCCACTTAGGAACTTTGACAGAACTAAGTAAGGAGGAGGGACATATGAATGGAGTGAAATAACACTTGGGGATAAGCTGCGAGTGCCTTGTACCTCAGTTGTCTATTCTTATAAAACAGAGACAGTGTTTCCTTCCTCACTCATCCCATGGAGTAATCGTGAAGACAAAAATAAGATAAATATGTTGAAAACATTCTGAAAGTTAAAAGTGTTCTATAGTAATTCTTAAAAATATTGAGTAAACATCTCCTTTGCTTAAATGCACTCCTACAGGATACAGAAATGAATAAGACAGTCCCTGCACACAGTTCATAAGGTGTAGTAATCCCCCAGTAAATGCCAGAAAAGTGTTGTTACTTACATTTTATTTCATTGCAAAAATTAGATAAATCTGGAATAAGTGCATTATAATAGTCACTCAGGATGCTGTGATAACTGTACTGAAATGGAACCCACATGGTGACTTCATAAACTTCTTAAGGTACTACCCAACACCTGAGTAATCCCTTCTGAAGCTATCCAAAATGGTGTAGTAATGATTCCAGCGAAACTGTACTTACCAAATTTTCCTCATGATTTTCAGACTTGCTTTAGCCCTCTGTTATTTATTTTCTCGTTTCTTAAGGCAATGTTTGTTATAAAGCAAAGACATACCTTTATATATAAAGGTGTATCTGAGGTCTTCTTAATTTGGTAGTTTTATTTAGTGCCCCTGGGGTTTTGGTCTGCTATTTTTGATACATTTCGGCCCAGTTTATAGGATTATTTCTTTAAAAGCTTTTAAGCACAAACTCATAGCTCTGTGTAAATTCCTTTATCTAAACACAATTGAGATGTGTGGTCATAGCAACACTACTATGTCAGGAATGTGTGCCCTCTGAGTATATTTTCACTTGTATGAATAGTTATTATCTGTACTTGTTTGTTCATTTATTCGACAAGTAAGCTGAGCCCTTACTACTGGGCTAAAATTAGTAGGGTCTCAAAAAATAAGATGCTGTCGCTATAACATATATTGGGAAAAACGAATGCAAAGTAGAATGTGCCATATGTTCTGGATATTCAGAAAGGGGAAAGATCACTTTTGACTTCAGAGGGCTAATGCCTGAAGGTCGTTCTAAGCACAATACAGAGAAAGCTGACGAGGTAGCATTCATGCCGAATCTTGAAGGATTAGTAGAAGTTTAACAGAAAGTTGAGGAAAGTTCTCTGTTCTTCCCCATCTGAGGACCAGTCTTAGTGGCTCTATCATCATTTCAGTCATTTTGAAGTATCTTACTTACGTTATTA